GCAAAGTACAGAAAACTAAAACCTTTAAAGTGTTTCCCAAATATATACATGAAAACATATTTGAAAGTATTTCAAGATATTTAAAACTATAGATTTGCAGTGCGCAGAAGGAGACTCCCTCCTACAGTGAGCACATAGATACTGAGCAACCAGGTGACAATAACCCAAACCCAAACCCAAACCCAGGATAAAGAGGTTCAGTGAATGTGGTGTTGAAGGTGTGGAGGTGGATCAGTGTGTCAGAGGAGACTGTGTAGAAGGACAGAGTGCCAGCAGGACAGTCCACATACACTGCTACTCTGTTAGAGACAGAGGAGGAGGAGGGGGGGCTTGTTCTTCTGTTGTTGCAACAGACAGAGTATCCATTAACATCAGTGCACTCCAGACTCCAGGACTGATTATTTCCTCCAAACCAGCGATCAGCGCTGTCTCCTCTCCTTCTGATTCCTTTGTAACTCACTGATATATAAACTCTTTCTTTCCACTCAACCTCCCAGTAACAGCGACCAGTCAGACCATTTCTACACAGCAGCTGAGGCCAGACATTAAACCTCTTTGGATGATCAGGATAGGTCTGCTCTTCTGTGACTAATGTCACTTTCCTGTTGTTGTCAGACAGTTTGAGGTTTCTGTGTACTGTGTTTGTGTCCACTTTGAGTACACAGGAATCTGATGGAGAGAAGAAGACTCAATACAGCAGCAGTTTATCATCTAACACAGCTGATGGCTTTATTTGTTGCTTTATTAACAGACTGACTGTTAATTAGATCAAAACTTCACAATGACTCATCTGTTTGGATCTTCTTTCAAACTGACAGTTGAATGCAGATACACAAGCTTTTGATTTAAACTACTTTAACATGTTTTCATGAATCAAAGTGAACACACACTTACACTTCCTCAGACCAGGTTTCAGCCTCTGCTCTCCACCGTGTTCCACCCTGGAGGAAGAAACAAAGTCAGAATGAACCTTCAGAAGCTTCCTCATCAATGATGATAAAATTCACTCAGATCCAATCTTAAGATTACTTACTCTTCTTGGGGCCCCTAAAGTAAACTGGTACATCATAATAAGTAATTACTGAGTACTGAATCATTACTTCCTCCCCTTTTTATCATTAATGCAAGTTGTTTAAATCCCCCCCTCAGAAATACTTGTATAACTGCCCTTGAAAAGGCAAAGCCATCTCTTTCATAGTTTTCATATTTTTCTTCTATTAAAAGAAAAAAATCAGTAGCAACCTTTAAGCAATGATGATTGCTAGGTTGTATGTTTGTTGATGTTTTCCAGTATCAAGTCTCAGTTTGATTATGTCACGAGATGATACAATAAACAGTAGCTAGTTTTAACTAAAAGCTCCCTGTCACAAACTCCCTTTAAGAAATATCACATTTGAAAAATTACTAACGTGTCCCTAACAACACGTAACTCTAGAAACACGAGCTAAAGGCCGTAATGTCCAGTCTGACTGTCAATACAGGATCAATATCATCCATAAAGATACAGTTTATACTGATCAATATCATCCATAAAGATACAGTGTATACTGATCAATATCATCCATAAAGATACAGTGTATACTGATCAATATCATCCATAAAGATACAGTGTATTCTGATCAATATAATAAAGATATGCCTCTAATCTGGGGGCGTTTGTCTGCCACTAACACTTTACTTTGGAGGCCACAAAAACAATTACTAATGTTTGAGTAACTAGTAATCAATTAGTCAGAAAGTGATCATTATGATTAATTAAAAACTGACTAGCTTTTCTGAAGCCTGAAAATGGAGAAAATAGCAGGTGCAGAATTACGATATTCTTAAATGTGTAGTCCAGCTTCATTACACAAATAATTACATCCAAACAACCTTCTCTAGTCATACCTGAGAGTGAACCCTCTTGCATTCTCCAATCTATCAGACAGCTTTTTTGAGTCTCCTGGATGATTGTAGCTCAGGTCCAGCTCTCTCAGATGGGAGGGGTTGGATCTCAGAGCTGAGGCCAGAGAAGTACAGCCTTCCTCTGAGATCATGCAGCCTGACAGCCTGGAGACACAGATTGATATTTACGATTAACTTCTAGGGGGTGTCACAAATTCAAACATTTCAGATCTCCTAATGATCTGCGTGGATTTGTGTGAATATTGGTGAGCATGATCTAGGGTTATGACTCAGTCGATGCATAAAATTTGGTGATGACTTAAGTGGCCGTGGCTTCTTACAACAAATCTAAATTTCACATTCCAACAAATTAACTTTAACTCTTACCTTCATACAACTGCAAAACATTTAAATAAATCATCTGTACATCCTACAGAGCTGACCTTCTTTCAGCACATCCGCTGAATAATGACAAACGTTTGCCTCACAACGTATGGTCTATTCAAACTCTGTCACTATATTTCTCAAAGTATGCAAAATCAATAAACATCTATACCTTCACAAGTCTTTGTTCAAGTGCTACCAAACAGACCACACAGACATTCAGTAGACACTAGATATGACATGTTTCTAACAGCGTTCAGATCAGTCAAACAATGAATCCACAGTGACATTCTGTGTCTTACTGTAATTTGTACTGTATTCACAACACTTCTATTTTACTAAATGTTTCATCAAACATTCAGTTTAATTCAATCAAATCAATTCATAGCAGAGATTATCTCAGGGCACTTTTCAAATAGAGCAGGTCTAGACCGAACTCTATATAAAATCATAACCAAAATATTTGACAATACAACTGAAATCAGCAGAATGATTTGATCTCTGATCAAATTTTGAATTATTTTTCTCTCAATGGGCTGAATTTTGAGTTTCAACTAGTCTATAGCAAAGGCCACTCAATGTGTTGATGATAAAAAAAAAAATGGTTGTTGCTGTCTTTCTTCAGTGCTGCTTTTGATGTTCTTGGCCCTGAACTATTACTGAAAAAAACTTGATATGGCTTCAGTGCAAATGCAGTCAGCTGGATTTATAGTTACTGTACTTCACAGAATGCAGTGTGGTTACTTTAGTATTTTAACTACAAGAAATGTAGAATGTGGATATATGCTGATGATTCCACATTATAAAAGTCCACTATAGAGTTATCCTCATATTAGCTAATATTGTAGCTAATATGGGGCAGTATCTGTTGATGCAAATTTTTTGTGACTGTTGTACAACTGATCTAGCCTAGCGCAATAGCATGACTGCACTGTGAAAAGTTAGTTTTAGCTAGCAGCTACAAGCAATTGTATTTGTAGCATTTTTGGAAAAAAATGCTCCACAGCTCCAAAACATTTTACCTCCAATTTAGACTATTAATTGTCTTTAACCTGATTGGTAGCTGTCGACATTCTAGATTAACTCAGCTGTGAACAGGACAAGAAGACACCGTAGGAATGTTAACATTACAAAAATAGCTTATTTTATGTTGCAGCAAATACAACGCTATTATACTGCAACCTGAATTCAGTATAACTTCCTTCAACAAACAGCACAGGTTACCCACAAGCCCACCTTTCTAAAAGGGGAATGCTCAGCTGGTAATGCACAGTTCAATTAAAAGACCTTATTTAGAGGTTTATTCTCTCTATTGTATATTTCTATTAGCTCTTCAGTGTTCACCCACTGCATGAAGTTGCATGACGTTCACTCCTGTCTAAAAGTTGTGGGCTGACTTTTTAGCAATCTCCTAGTTCTTTCAAAAAATTGTGCTCTAGCTAGGCCTAAAAGCTAGAAGTAAAAGATTTCATACTGTATATTAATGGTAGACATGTTCAGAGAGTCTAGCACTTGTGCAAAGCAGATAACTTTTTGTAACAGAGCTACCACTCAGTGAGATATGTTGTCATTTTCCTTAACAAAAGAAAAGCTTACTTTAAAACCAGCTAAATAAGTTTGTTCTCTTAAAGGACCAGTGTGTGGGATTTAGTGGCATCTAGTGGTATAGTTGTAGATTGGAACTGAACACCAGTCGCATCTGTGATTTCAACACATTTGTGAACACAACTTGAGAGAAATAAGCATTTTGTGCACATAGAAAAAGTCTTGTGCAGAAAGTGGCTGTCACTCTTCCTGTCGTTGTGGGTCAATTTAAATCCTTAACTTGACTCAGAGTTATGCATATGGTTGAATCCCAAATATAATATTTATATATTTATATAAATATTATGCAAAGGCCCACCCTTATGGAGAGAGAGGGTGAAAAAAGATATTCTTACACTTACATGAAGAAGACATTCCCAGATCAAAGTTCCAGCTAGTTCTTACTAGAACAGGTATTTGGCTCACCCAGAAATATCCCTCAAAATTTCAATATTCTTGCATAACTATGGCAGCGGGAACAGGCCACAAGGTTTCCTTTTATTATTCAAAGATCTTTGATTAGACCAATACAGCATCTAATTCTCTAAAGATAGACTGGGACTGGGCCCCAGACTCAGAAGACAGACTGGATTTTGACTTGTGTCATGGGGAGAGACAGGTTTTAATGATAGGTTGGAAGATACCAGGGAGCTGTATCCAGTTAGGACTGGTTTAATGAACTTAGTAAAGTAGCCTCTTATAAGTAAATGTTTTATAGAAAAACTGATGGATGGGACAAATTAATATTCTATTTTCTTGGAATTAAAGGTGTAAAAGTGCAGAATCCATTTCCAGTCAGACAATGATGTATGGTTATTAAGAAGTACTATTTATTTGTATTAAGCAAGAAAAAACAAGTTTCCTATGAAATTTTGAGAAAGGGAGATTGGTTTATAATTGTGTGTGTTTGTGTCTGTTGAAAACGCTGACAATGTTTCTGTTCCATTTGTACATGATGTTAATCCAATGAGATGAGTTTTTTTGTGTGTTGTGTTACAATGTTGTGTGGTTACAATGTAATGTACAAAGTGTATGTGACCTAATCTACACTGTTAAATTTGAAGGTTGAGGGTTTTTAAAAAAAATACACATTAACCTGTATGTCAATCTCAATTCAAATTGTCATATGTGTTAAAAAGAAGCCTGACCTGAGAGTCTCCAGTTTACAGTGTGAACTCTTCAGTCCAGCAGACAGCTGTTTCACTCCTGAATCCTGCAAGTCGTTGTTACTCAGGTCCAGCTCTCTCAGACTAGAGGACTGGGAGCTGAGAACTGAGGACAGAGCTTCACAGCTTCTCTCTGACAGATTACAGACATTCAACCTGCAAAAATATGCACAGGACATACAGTATGTAAAAACATTTCTCTCTGAGTTCGATTTGACTTACACTTATATTTTGGTACATACGATTTTCATAGGTGTGTCTAAAGAGAAGTGGTAAAATGACCTAAGAAAAATTACAACATAATGCAACAGTTATGGTTCATCCTTTACATTTTTTTAATCCTGACCTGAGAGTCTCCAGTGTACAGTGTGGACTCTTCAGTCCAGCAGACAACAGCTTCACTCCTGAATCCTGTAGGTCGTTGTTACTCAGGTCCAGCTCTCTCAGACTAGAGGACTGAGAGCTGAGAACTGAGGACAGAGCTTCACAGCTTCTCTCTGACAGATTACAGCTACTGAGCCTGAAGGAGAGTAAGTGATAAAGACAAACACTGATACTTCTGTTGTATACAAATTTTTTTTTATGTTTATGTAAAAACTATTAAATTTATATGGTTGCTCTTGTTCAATAGATACGTATCAGGACCTCAGGCAATGATTTTTATGAATTTGTGTTTTTCATTGTCTATATTTCTGGAAACCAAAACCCTTTAAACCCCTCTTAAACAAAACCTAAAATTCAATGCATCTATCAAACTAAAACACCTGAAAGTTTCCTATATCACCACCTCCAATAAATCTTTGATCAAGCTTAAATTTAGACTTGAGGTCTCCTCATCTCTTTTGTCTCTTTATTGAAAGTTTTTTAGCTGTTAATGTTAACATCAGCGCTTGAGGTCACAAACTGATGGTTTGAGGTCAGCAAAATTCATGGTTCTATCAAATATGGCAAGACGTCCACGTCCTGAAGCAGCAAAACAGCCCCAGACCATCACACTACCACCACCATTTTTGACTGTTGGTATGATGTTCTTTTTATGAAATGGTTAGTTTTACACCAGAGTTCAACTTTTGTCTCATCAGGTTCGCTGGAGTCCCAAAGCCCTAGAAATGGCGTTGTAACCCTTTCCAGACTGATAGATGTCAGTGATTTTGTTTCTCATCTGTTCTTTAATTTCTTAACTGTTGCTTTTGGGATCTTTTAGCCTACTTCACTTCAGACAGCCTAATTAAGGGATTTCTTGATTCAGTAGGTCTAGCAGTAATCAGGCATGGGTGTGGCTAGTGAAATTGAACTCAGCTTTCCAAAAAATGTGGTTAATCGCAGTTAACAAGGGGAGGCACTTACTTTTTCACATAGGGCCAGGTAGGTTTGGATAGCTTTTTCCCCTTAATAAATGAAATCATCATCATTTAAAAACTTTATCTTTTTGTCTAATATAAAAATTTGTTTGGTGATCTGAAACATTAAGTGTAACAAATATTCAATAAAAGGGGGCAAATACTTTTTCACAGCACTGTATATGGGTATTTACTGGTGTTGTTGATTCAGGTCTAAATATGGACAATTTAGAGCAAAGTATTTGAATTCTATATATATTTTACTTTTTCTATATAAGATTGCACAACAACCGCCCTCTACTGGTTGAAACCCACTATTACAATAGAATTTTGCTGCTTGCTGATCTGGAGTCAGGTGACATCACCAACCAAACACTGCTGCTATAAAGACATTAGCCTGACACTACCATAGAAAGTGGAGAGTTAGCCTCTTTGTGCTGCTAGCTTAGCTAACATTACCTCAGATTGTCAGTGTGACAGAAAAACTGTGTGAGCTCTGGTTGTCTGTTCATACCTGAGAGTGTCCAGTCTCCAGTGTGGATCCTCCAGTCCAGCCGTCAGCAGCTTCACTCCTGAGTCTCCTGGATGATTGCAGCTCAGGTCCAGCTCTTTCAGATGGGAGGGGTTGGATCTCAGAGCTGAGGCCAGAGAAGTACAGCCTTCCTCTGAGATCATACAGCCTGACAGCCTGGAGAGAGAGAGAGAGAGAGAGAGAGAGAGAGAGAGAGAGAGAGAGAGAGAGCAAATTATATGTCTTTAATTTTCATCTTTTCTTCCCTTGTAAATGTAAGTTCACTGTTACTTAGTTTAATGTATTTTCTCATCAGTCCACTGCTTTGAAATTAATTGGTTTTTTTACAGTTAAATGCCACCAGAACCAGTAATCAATATTTTAAGTATTCAAACATAAGAATTTAATTAATTTAATCTGACCACTCAGGGGCAGCACAACAAGCTGTAAAACCAGACACTGACACACGAACAGCTTATGAAATTGATTTTGCTGGAATGTCTTATGCAGCGCTCCACTGTCAGCAGATATGAATGTCAGCTCAAAAAACTCATTGCTGAACATCATAAAAATGAAGGATGTCTGACTGAATCACTATCCAATACCTGAAATAAGAATTTTACCATTACTGACATGATGGTTATGTTATATATTTATCTGAGTTATGACAATCATCTGAAACAATTGAGCATCCATATCCACTTTAATAAAAAGTGGATATCTATTTTTCAAACAAAATGACTCTTCAATAACTTCACTTATACTTCTATGGGAAACAGCCAAAGCACTGATGAGAGGAAAAATAATCTCATACTCCACAAAAACATGATTCCAAGATGGCAGTGCGTGTGCAACACGAGGCTCAGTGTCTCTCTAGATTCTGTGAATTAGTAGTTATCTGCCTTTTTGTTTCACGGCTGTTTACTCAGAACAGTGTTGCATTCATCTCCTACAGCCGACGGAGGCTACCGACCCGGCTTCTCCAACTGGAAGTGCTGGCAGGCGGTGCCAAGATCGTAAATAAAGGCGGGGGAGGAGAGGAGGGCTACGAGCTAAGCTAAAGCTAACTCCTCATTTGTTCGCTACCCAGCATTTTCCTTGCCTTGTTCGCTCTCTGGTGAACAAAATGGATGAACTGCAGCTGCGGATCATCTCACACAGTTGGATTAAGGACTGTAACATCATGATCTTCACTGAAACATGGCTCAACAGCGGCGTCCCCGATAGCGCAATTGAGCTAACAGGGCGCTGGTGGGGGTCTGTGCATTTATATGAACAAAGCTTGGTGCACGGACACTGCTACAATTGGGAGTCAGTGCTCGGCTAACCTAGAGTTTCTCATGGTGAAGTGTAGACCTTTCTATCTGCCCAGAGAGTTTACATCTACTGTTGTGACTGCAGCCTATATGCCCCGGATGCTAATGCTAAACTTGCCATGAAAGAACTGCATGCTAACATTAGCAAACATCAAACTTCACATCCTGAGGCAGCCATTATTGTTGGGGGTGAGTAAGAATAACCCTAGGTTCCTCTTCAGCACTGTAGCCAGGCTGACAGAGAGTCACAGCTCTATTGAGCCACATATCCCCATAAACTTAAGTAGCAATGACTTCATGAGCTTCTTTTATAATAAAATTATTACTATTAGAGAGAAAATTAATCACCAACTGCCATCAACAGTTATCAGTGGCTCTCCAAGTTCAGGGACTTCTGTCAATGTAAACTTAGATATATATTTAGACTGTTTTTCTGCTATTGATCTTCATCAGTTAACTTCAATCATTTCTTCATCGAAGCCATCAACCTGTCTGTTAGACCCGATCCCAACTAGGCTGCTTAAAGAAGTTGTTCCCTTAATTGGCACTTCTTTACTGGATATGATTAATCTTTCTTTATTATCAGAATATAATGTTATAAAGAGTTCGTCTAGACCTGCTCTATTTGAAAAGTGTCCTGAGATAACTTCTGTTATGAATTGGCGCTATATAAATAAAATTGAATTGAATTGAAAAATTGAATTGAATATAACTGGCAGTGGAACTTACTGCGCTGCGAGGGGGGCGCCACCTAAAATCTTGCCTAGGGCGCCAAATTGCTTAGGGCCGAGCATGGGTCTGCCTCCAAAAAATTGATGAAGGAGGTAGAACCTCCTGCTGCCCACTGTCATTGACTCTTGGGAGTGACAGTGTCATTAGTTGCCCGGCAGGGGAGATGCTCTGTAATGCACAGGAATTTCATAACTGAACTATGAGCAGACACACACTTTTACTCTCTGAGTGAGTGGAAATTTGATGTTTTCACATTAGAGATGACAAAGACGAGTCATATGTAAATAATGAGACTCATGTAGGCTGTAGTTTATAGGAGTTTAGTGTTTTGGCAGCAGAATATTAATCTAACCCTTCAGGGTTTGAACCCTAATGATAATAATAGTTCCTGACCTGAGAATCTCCAGTACACAGTGTGTAATCTTCAGTCCAGCAGACACCAGCATCACTCCTGAATCCTGCAGGTTGTTGTTATTCAGGTCCAGCTCTCTCAGACTGGAGGACTGGGAGCTGAGAACTGAGGACAGAGCTTCACAGCTTCTATCAGACAGATTACAGCCACTCAGCCTAAAAACATATGTACAGGAGACATGTGAAAAAATGCCTGTCTATATTTCATATGGCTTAGACTTATTGGTATGCACTGCATTCATATATGAGAATGTAAAATCACTAAAGAAAAATTATACCAAAATCATGTGACAGATCTGGCTGACCTTTTACAGTTTTATTAATCCTGACCTGAGAGTCTCCAGTTTACAGTGTGAACTCTTCAGTCCAACAGACAGCTGCTTCAGTCCTGAATCCTGCAGGTTGTTGTTACTCAGGTCCAGCTCTCTCAGACTAGAGGACTGGGAGCTGAGAACTGAGGACAGAGCTTCACAGCTTCTCTCTGACAGATTACAGCCACTCAGCCTGAAGGAGAATTAGTGATAAAGACAAACACTGTGATTGTTTTGATTGTATGCAATGCAAAAAACATTATGTCTCTGAAGGTCACTACATTGATGAGTCAAACAATCAAGCATTATGATATTTGGAAGTACAATGACACTGAAGAAACCAATTTAATTTAATTGACAAATCATGCAACTATCAGTTGACTAATTTAATTCAATTTTCAATTCAATTTTATTTGTATAGCGCCAATTCATAACAGAAGTTATCTCAGGACACTTTTCAAATAGAGCAGGTCTAGACCGAACTCTTTATAACATTATTTACAGAGACCCAACAGTACCACCATGAGCAAGCACTGGCGTCAAGGGCAAGGAAAACTGCCTGTTAAAAGGCAGAAACCTAGGACAGATCCTTCGGCTCTAGGTGGGTGGTCGTCTGTCTCGACCAGTTGGGGTAGAGAGAGAGAGAGAGAGAGAGAAACGACAGACAGACAGACAGGTGCACAGCAACAACAGTATTGGCAATGGCAGTCAAGCAGGACCATGGCAGGAGGCTCCACCAGGATCCATGAGAACCTGCGAGACGAGAGCACAGCTCCGGGGAAGAAGTGAAGTTAGTAACATGCATTAATGGGACATGAATGAGTGCAGAAAGAGAGAGGAAGAGAGGAGCTCAGTGCACCATGGGAAATCCCCGATAGCCTAGGCCTATAGCAGCATAACTAAGGGATGGTTCAGGACTCACCTGATCCAGCCCTAACTATAAGCTTTATCAAAGAGAAATGTCTTAAGCCTACTCTTGAATGTGGTGAGGGTGTCTGCCTCCAGAACCACAACTGGAAGCTGGTTCCACAGGAGAGGAGCTTGGTAATCATCAGGTGAGTCCTGAACACTGAGCTACTCTCTTCCTCTCTCTTTCTGCACTCATTCATGTCCCATTAATGCATGTTACTAACTCCACTTCTTCCCCGGAGTTCTTGTGCTTTCTCGTCTCGCAGGTTCTTATCGATCCTGGTGGAGCCTCCTGCCATGGTCCTGCTTGACTGCCATTGCCAATACTGTTGTTGCTGTGCACCTGTCTGTCTGTCTCTCGCTCTCTCTCTCTCTGCCTCTCTCTCTCTCTCTCTCTCTCTCTCTCTCTCTCTCCACCCCAACTGGTCGAGACAGACGACCACCCACCTAGAGCCGGAGGATCTGTCCTAGGTTTCTGCCTTTTAACAGGCAGTTTTTCCTTGCCCTTGTCGCCAAGTGCTTGCTCATGGTGGTACTGTTGGGTCTCTGTAATTAATGTTAAAGAGTTCGGTCTAGACCTGCTCTATTTGAAAAGTGTCCTGAGATAACTTCTGTTATGAATTGGCGCTATACAAATAAAATTGAATTGAATTGAATTGAATTGAATTGGTAACTGAAGGCTCTGGCTCCTGTACTACTTTTAGAGACTATAGGAACCACAAGTAGCCCAGCATTCAGAGAACGTAGTGTTCTAGAGGGGTAATAGGGTACTATGAGCTCTTTAAGATATGAAGGGGCCTGACCATGAAGAGCTTTATAGGTGAGGAGGAGGATTTTAAATTCTATTCTACATTTTACAGGGAGCCAATGCAGAGAAGCTAGTACAGGAGAGATGTGATCTCTTTTTCTAGTTCCTGTCAGTACTCGTGCTGCAGCGTTCTGAATTAATTGGAGCGTTTTAATGGACTTATTGGGGCAACCTGATAATAAAGAGTTGCAGTAATCCAGCCTTGAAGTAACAAATGCATGGATTAGTTTTTCTGCATCTGTCTGTGATAGGATGTGTCTAATTTTTGTAATATTACGTAAATGAATGAATTAATTAAGGGAACAACTTCTTTAAGCAGCCTAGTTGGGATCGGGTCTAATAGACAGGTTTATGGGGATATGTGGCTCAATAGAGCTGTGACTCTCTGTCAGCCTGGCTACAGTGCTGAAGAGGAACCTAGGGTTATTCTTATTTTCTTCTATTAGTGCTGAGTAATAGGCTCCTCTGGCATTACGGAGGGCCTTTCTATAGGTTTTAAGATTATCATGCCAAATTGAGCGATATTCTGATAATTTGGAAGAGCGCCATTTCCTTTCAGATTTCCTAGCTATTTGTTTTAACTGGCGGGTTTGGTGGTTGTACCAAGGTGCTAGTCTCCTATGTTTTAATAATTTCCTTTTTATAGGAGCAATAGAGTCTAATGTTGATCGTAGTGAGCCTGTAGCACTATCGACAAGATTATCAATTTCAGAGGGACTAAAGTTGTTATAGGACTCTGTTAAATTCAGACATGGCATTGAATTAAACACTGAAGGAATCTCCTCCTTAAATTTAGCTACAGCACTGTCAGAGCTGTAGGAAGTTTTGCCTAATGGCTTATAATCTAATAGTATGAATTCAAAAGTTATTAAATAATGGTCAGATAGGAAAGGATTATGTGGGAAGACTATTAAATGTTCAATATCAATGCCATATGATAAGACAAGGTCAAGAGTGTGATTAAAACAATGAGTTGGTTTATTTACACTCTGACAGAAGCCAATTGAGTCTATTAATGATATAAATGCGTTACTAAGGCTGTCAATTTTAACATCCACATGAAAATTAAAATCACCTACAATAATTACTTTATCTGATTTAAGGACTAAACTTGATAAAAACTCTGAGAATTCAGATATAAAATCAGAGTACGGTCCAGGAGCGCGGTACACTATAACAAATAGAACTGGCTGCAGTGTTTTCCAGTTTGGGTGAGAAAGACTAAGAACAAGGCTTTCAAATGAATTATAATTGAGTTTAGGTTTAGGGTCCATTAAAACGCTCGAATCATATATGGCTGCCACTCCACCTCCTCGGCCAGTGCCTCGAGGAATGTGAGTATTAATATGACTGGGGGGGTGGATTCATTTAGGCTAACATACTCCTCGTGGGACAACCAGGTCTCAGTAAGACAAAGTAAATCAATATCATAATCTGATATTAATTCATTCACTAAAACAGCTTTAGAGGACAGAGACCTGATATTTAACAGTCCACATTTCATTCTCTTATTTTGTGCTACTGAGGAGTAGGTTTTAATTTTTATTAGGTTTTTATTTTTAACTCCTCTTGTTTTTGTTTCTTTAAATAATTTAGGTGGTCGGGGGGACAGACACAGTCTCTATGGGGTTTTGGGTGGGTGACTGTTCTAAAGAAAGCGCAGAGAAGTGTGTAAGACAGCAGCTCTGCTTCCTGGTCCCAACTCTGGACTGTTAGGTTTTAGAGATAAACTTCACCATATTTCTAGATAAGAGAGCTGCTCCATCCAAAGTGGGATGGATGCCGTCTCTCCTAATCAGACCAGGTTTTCCCCAAAAAGGCTTCCAGTTATTAATGAAGCCCACATCGTTTGCTGGACACCACCTCGACAGCCAGCGGTGGAATGACGACATGCGGCTATACATGTCATCACTGGTCACATTGGGGAGGGGTCCAGAGAAAACTACGGAGTTGTTATAGCATAATTACACACCGACTCCACATTAATTTTGGTGACCTCCGATTGGTGTAAACGGGTGTCATTACCGCCGACGTGGATAACAATCTTACCATATTTACGATTATCATTAGCCAGCAGTTTTAAATATGATTCAATGTCGCCCGCTCTGGCCCCAGGGATACATTTAACTATGGCCGCTGGTTTCACTAACTTCACGTTTCTGACTTTGGAGCTGCCAATAACCAGAGTTGGTTCCTCAGCGGGTGTGTCGCTGAGTGGGGAAAATGTATTAGAAACATGAATGAATACTACAGTTAGTCATGGAGTTCCACAAGGTTCTGTACTTGGACCAATACTATTTACTTTATATATGCTCCCTTTAGGCAACATTATTAGGAATCACTCCATTAACTTTCACTGTTATGCAGATGATACGCAGTTATATCTATCAATCAAACCCAATTCAATTAATCAATTATCTAAATTACAAACATGTCTTACGGACATAAAATCCTGGATGAGCTGCAATTTTCTGATGTTAAACTCAGAAAAAAACAAAATTCTTGTTCTTGGCCCCAAAAACCTTAGAGACTCACTGTCTAAAGATATAGTTACTCTAGATGGCATTAACTTGGCCTCTAGCACCACTGTCAGGAATCTTGGAGTTATCTTTGATCAGGATTTGTCATTTAACTCCCACATAAAGCAGACCTCTAGGACCGCCTTCTTTCATTTACGTAATATTACAAAAATTAGACACATCCTATCACAGACAGATGCAGAAAAACTAATCCATGCATTTGTTACTTCAAGGCTGGATTACTGCAACTCTTTATTATCAGGTTGCCCCAATAAGTCCATTAAAACGCTCCAATTAATTCAGAACGCTGCAGCACGAGTACTGACAGGAACTAGAAAAAGAGATCACATCTCTCCTGTACTAGCTTCTCTGCATTGGCTCCCTGTAAAATGTAGAATTGAATTTAAAATCCTCCTCCTCACCTATAAAGCTCTTCAAGGTCAGGCCCCTTCATATCTTAAAGAGCTCATAGTACCCTATTACCCCTCTAGAACACTACGTTCTCTGAATGCTGGGCTACTTGTGGTTCCTATAGTCTCTAAAAGTAGAACAGGAGCCAGAGCCTTCAGTTACCAAGCCCCTCTCTTGTGGAACCAGCTTCCAGTTGTGGTTCGGGAGGCAGACACCCTCACCACATTCAAGAGTAGGCTTAAGACATTCCTCTTTGATAAAGCTTATAGTTAGGGCTGGATCAGGTGAGTCCTGAACCATCCCTTAGTTATGCTGCTATAGGCCTAGACTATCGGGTGATTTCCCATGGTGCACTGAGCTCCTCCCTTCCTCTCTCTTTCTGCACTCATTCATGTCCCATTAATGCATGTTACTAACTTCACTTCTTCCCCGGAGTTCTTGTGCTTTCTCGTCTCGCAGGTTCCTGTCGATCCTGGTGGAGCCTCCTGCCATGGTCCTGCTAGATTGCCGTTGCCAATATCTCTCTCCCTCTCCCTCTCTCTCTCTCTCTCTCTCTCCCTCTCCCTCTCCCTCCCTCTCTCTCTCTCTCTCTCTCCCTCTCCCCCTCCCCTAACTGGTCAAGACAGACGACCACCCACCTAGAGCCGAAGGATCTGTCCTAGGTTTCTGCCTTTTAACAGGCAGTTTTTCCTTGCCCTTGTCTCCAAGGTCTTGCTCATGGTGGTACTGTTGGGTCTCTGTAATTAATGTTTTAAAGAGTTCGGTCTAGACCTGCTCTAATTGAAAAGTGTCCTGAGATAACTTCTTTTATGAATTGGCGCTATACAAATAAAATTGAATTGAATTGAATTGGTTGGTGGTGTAGGCTTCTGTGTTTTAGTCTTCCTTCGCTAAGTCACCCAGCCTCCCTGTCTTCCCGGCTGCTCGGGAACTACCGGAGGAACTACCGGGGGAACTACCGGGGGACGGCTAACAGAAGCTACCTTCGGTCGGACCGCACCGGCTACTGGGGGCTGGCTAACTATAGCAGCTAAAGATATCTCTGTGGTGCGGTGCCGTTCCACTAACTCACTAAGCCTCGCCTCCAGCGCAGTAAATAAACTACACTTAATACATGTACCATTATCTTTAAAGGAGGCAGAGGAATAACTGAACATCTGGCACACTGAGCAGGACAGAGGAGAGGGAGAGGGAGAAGCCATAGCCAACTGCTAATGCTAATGAAGCTAGCGGGTATGAAAAACTTTGAAAATAGTAATAGAGTAACTCCGAGTGCTTAGGTAGAAATAGTCTACGTTTAAATATTAAGCGGGAAAATAACCGCTGTAACGAGCAAAACTAATTTAGATTTAGTGTTCACTGACAGAGCTACAGCACCAAACAGTGTACACAGAGCAGGAAGTAAACCGGAAATGGAGTCAGTACGCTTACCGTAGCACGTCACCAGCAACAGCAACTAAGACATTCATTAGTTAAGAACAACCCCACACATGTGATACAGTTAGTATCTTCAGATATCTGTGCACTTACAGAGCTTTGTTGGAGGCTTTGACCACTGGCAGCAGCCTCAGAAGAGCCTCCTCTGAAGCAGAGTATTTCTTCAGGTCAAACACATCCAGATCTGTTTCTGATGACAGTAAGATGAAGACCAGAGCTGACCACAGAGCAGGAGACAGTTCATCTGTGGAGAGACTTCCTGAACTCAGGTACTGTTGGATCTCTTCAACTAGAGAACGATCATTCAGTTCATTCAGACAGTGGAACAGATTGATGCTTCTCTCTGGAGACAGATTCTCACTGATCTTCTTCTTGATGTACTCAACTGTTTTCTGATTGGTCTGTGAGCTTCTTGTTTCTTTCAGTAGGTCTCGTAAAATACTCTGATTAGTCTGCAGAGAGAGACCCAGGAGGAAGCGGAGGAACAAGTCCAGGTGTCCATTTGGACTCTGTAAGGCCTTGTCAACAGCAAACATGTGGACCTCTGTGATTGATGTTTTGCTAAAAAACTTTTTTGTTCGTTTGACCAAAGTTTGCACTGGCTCAGACATCACATTCTTGTTCCGGTTGATGAGTGCCCTCTCCACATATAAAGCTGCCAAAAACTCCTGAACACTCAGATGGACGAAGCTAAACATCTTGTCTTCATCATTCTTTTTCCCACGTTCCTCTTTAAAGATCTCTGTGAACACTCCTGAGCACACTGAGGCTCCACTGACATCAATGCCGCTCTCTTTCAGATCTTTCTCGTAGAAGATCAGGTTGCCCTTTTTCAGTTGGTGGAAAGCCAGTTTTGCTAATGACTTAATGTACTGAATTGACTGTTTTTTGACATACTTCTCTTTTGTCTGATGAATCTGAAACACCAGGAATTCTGCATACATCTCAGTCAGGGTCTTGGGCAGCTCTCCTCCCTCTCTGGTCTTCAACACATCCTCCAGAACTATAGCAGTGATCCAGCAGAAGACTGGGATGTGGCACATGATGTGGAGGCTTCGTGATTTCTTGATGTGGGAGATGATCGTATTGGCCTTCTTCTTATCAGTGTATCTCTTCCTGAAGTACTCCTCCTTCTGAGGTTCAGTGAACCCTCTGACCTCTGTCACTGTGTCAACAAAATCAGAATGGATCTGATTGGCTGCTGCAGGTCGTGTGGTTATCCAGAGGCGAGCAGAGGGAAGCAGATTCTTCTTGATGAGGTTTGACAGCAGCTGATCCACTGTGGTGGACTTTGTCACATCGAAGTCTGTGTTCTGGGTTTTATTGTTAGAGCAGTCCAGTTGAAGGCGGCTCTCATCCAGTCCATCCAAAACAAACAGAAGTTTGAATTCGCTGTCATCATAGTTGGTGTTTCCTGATGACTGCAGAGTTGTAAAGATGTGATTAAGAGCTTCTTCTGGGATGTCTTTGGTCTCCCTGAAACATTTATGAATTAGCTCTACCAAGCATAACTCTTCGCCCTTCCATGAGTTCAGCTGGCGGAAGGTGAAGGGGAATATGAGATGAACATCTTGATTGGCTCTTTCTTCAGACCAGTCTGACACAAACTTGCACACAAGAAATGTTTTGCCAATTCCTGCGATTCCCCTGGTCAGCACTGCTCTTATGGCTCTTGTTTTTCCAGAGGGAGGTTTGAATATGTCACTGGGTTGAATTGATATCTCTGTTTCTGATGACTTCACCACTTCAATCTGCATGACCTCATGTTGTTTGTTGATGTGTATGTCACCTCCAGCTGTGATGTACAGTTCTGTGTAGATGTCGTCCAGAGGTTGCTCATCCTTCTTTTCCATCCACCCCTCTTGTGCACACATAAACCTAGTCTTGAGGTTTTTTTGAAGCTTTTTTTGGTAATATGAGATGTGTCGTCGCTCTGGTACTGGAACAAGCCCATCTGCGTGACATAAATAGAAAAACATTTTTATGTTTAATTCAATTCAATTGTTTAGGCTGTATGTGAACAGATGATTCTTTTCTCACAAGCATCAGTTAATGCATGTCTTTTGTTTTTGTTTGATTCTGAAAAGAAAGTACACTGCAGTCAGAGATAATTTCAGTGGGAGCAAGTTGTACAGTATTCTTGTATCCAGAGATTTACAATTTTGTACCAGCAGGCTTTCTTAATGTTTAGGTTTGAATGCTTTGTTTTCATTCATACACCTTTAATTTTTGCTTTTACTGTAATATTCATTCCAAACAATTGCACATGTTAAATAATGTTTGGGGACATTAGTGATGTGCACATTTCTAATTTATAGCGGTATTCTGTTCTGTTTAAAACAAAGAAAGCTGGACAGCTTTTGAGTTGGAGACTGGGAGGGAGCCTGTCACTGTGTGTATTGAATGGGTCCTGTGCTACTCTTATAGGACATAAAGGTGCAGATGCTGATTCCTGCTATGAATGGTGTTCTTCAGCCTGAGTGGAACCATACTACAGCTGCTACATAAAACTGGTGCGATTACTCAGATCCATTGGCCAGCCACCACCAAGTGCAGTGGTTCAATTGTGCGCTTGTGAGATCTGGGATGTGGATCCTGTTAACTGCTGAAGTAATTTCTAATATAATGTATAAACAAAGACCTTCAATAATTAACTTTACAAAAAGGAATCATATTGGGCTGGTCTGAGTATTTCAGAAACTGCTAATCTACTGGGATTTTAACACACAACAATCTCTAGGATTTACAGAGAATGGTCAGAAAAAGAGAAAATATCCAGTGAGTGGCAATTCTCTAGGCAAGAATGCCTTGGTGATGCCAGAGATTAGAGGAGAATGGCCAGACTGGTTCAAGATGATAGAAAGGCAACAGTAACTCAAATAACCACTCGTATGGTATGCAGAAGACCATCTCTGACACATCGAACCTTGAAGCTGATGGGCAACAGCAGCAGAAGAACACAGGGTGCTACTCTTGTCAGCTGAGAACTAGCCAACTATAGACCGATTTCTAATCTCCCCTTCCTCTCTAAGATTCTGGAGAAAGTAGTCGCCAAAGAGTTGTGTGACTTTCTACATAACAATAGTTTATTTGAGGATTTTCAGTCAGGATTTAGAGTTCATCATAGCACAGAGACAGCTCTGGTTAAAGTTAATAATGACCTTCTGACTGCTTCTGACAATGGACTTGTCTCTGTACTTGTATTATTAGATCTTAGTGCTGCATTTGACACCATTGACCATAATATTCTTTTACAGAGACTTGAGCATCCAATTGGCATTAAAGGAACCGCACTAAGCTGGTTTAAGTCATATTTATCAGATCGCTCGCAATTTGTACATGTTAACGATGAATCTTCAATAAACACTACAGTTAGTCATGGAGTTCCACAAGGTTCTGTACTTGGACCAATACTATTTACTTTATATATGCTCCCTTTAGGCAACATTATTAGGAATCACTCCATTAACTTTCACTGTTATGCAGATGATACGCAGTTATATCTATCAATCAAGCCCAATGAAATTAATCAATTATCTAAATTACAAACATGTCTTAAGGGCATAAAATCCTGGATGACCTGCAATTTTCTGATGTTAAACTTTCTTGAATTCTTGTTCTTGGCCCCAAAAACCTTAGAGACTCACTGTCTAAAGATATAGTTACTCTAGATGGCATTAACTTGGCCTCTAGCCCCACTGTCAGGAATCTTGGAGTTATCTTTGATCAGGATTTGTCATTTAACTCCCACATAAAGCAGACCTCTAGGACTGCCTTCTTTCATTTACGTAATATTAGAAAAATTAGACACATCCTATCACAGACAGATGCAGAAAAACTAATCCATGCATTTGTTACTTCAAGGCTGGATTACTGCAACTCTTTATTATCAGGTTGCCCCAATAAGTCCATTAAAACGCTCCAATTAATTCAGAACGCTGCAGCACGAGTACTGACAGGAACTAGAAAAAGAGATCACATCTCTCCTGCGCTAGCTTCTCTGCATTGGCTCCCTGTAAAATGTAGAATAGAATTTAAAATCCTCCTCCTCACCTACAAAGCTCTTCATGATCAGGCCCCTTCAAATCTTAAAGAGCTCATTGCACCCTATTACCCCACTAGAACACTACATTCTCTGAATGCTGGGCTACTTGTGGTTCCTATAGTCTCTAAAAGTAGAACAGGAGCCAGAGCCTTCAGTTACCAAGCTCCTCTCCTGTGGAACCAGCTTCCAGTTGTGGTTCGGGAGGCAGACACCCTCACCACATTTAAGAGTAGGCTTAAGACATTCCTCTTTGATAAAGCTTATAGTTAGGGCTGGATCAGGTGAGTCCTGAACCATCCCTTAGTTATGCTGCTATAGGCCTGGACTATCGAGGGATTTCCCATGGTGCACTGAGCTCCTCTCTTCCTCTCTCTCTCTTTCTGCACTCATTCATGTTCCATTAATGCATGTTACTAACTTCCCTTTTTTCGTTTTTGTGCTTTCTCGTCTAGTTCTCCTGTCTTTGCTTTCACGAAGATGTAAAGTAAAACTTACTTACATTTAATTTTTTCAAATGTAAGAACTACAATTGGTCTGTCAGCGCTTCCATATACACCAGAGAATACAGCAGCTTTACCTTCACTCTGAGAGGAGGATGGTCCTCTTCTCTCTGAAGTCTCTCCAACATCATTGACATCCACTGACCCTGAGTGAGTGAGTGAGTGAGAGAGAGAGAGAGAGAGAGAGAGAGAGAGAGAGAGAGAGAGAGATTGTGATATATATATATGTGTGTGTGGTTTTTAAACGTCTCTGTGTGGTATGTGCTGTAGGTTATCTAATTTCATCTTTGGTAGCTGATTAGTTGAAGTGTGACCTCTGTGTAACTCAGAAAACTACAAAATAATAAAGAATGTGATCGACTATAAAGACAAGTTATGAGATGATATAACTTTATTTGAAATTTAATGAATTCCTATTAATAAATTACTAAAACGTGATTATTATAAACAAAAACAGCAAAAAAGGAAAAACTGTAATTAAATTTACTGACGTAAATATATCGCTCAGTCAATCAACCATCTTTCATTTGTTAGCAAATGCATCACTCTTATCTGATTGGTTATCTGTGTGTGTGTGGCTCAACTATCTCTGCAGATCAGGATCAGACTGACCTGAGAGTTTCAACATGGCTGCTGTGTGGTTTAAGGGTGTGCAACGTCGGCTTTGTTTGGACTACAAAGATACCGTTAATAAATTATTTCATAAATGATTTACGAATTCCGCTAGCATTGTCAACCATAGCCACCATAGCCATGTGCGCACCAGAGCCAATCACTGCAGAGCCGACCCCCACGACACACCTTAAGAAACACGCTGATCTATACCTGCAGCGGCGCGAGCAGCTTTATACCTGCAGCGGATTTTGACGGCTGTTCGGTCCCGTTCTTCGGTCCCGTTCTGTGCTTCTAAACTGACTATTGTGGATTACTAACACTGAACGAGTCCGGACCGAGTCTGGAGATCCGGATACGCGAGGACAAAAAACTGGAATCAGAATCTGTGGATGTTCGTCTGTAGCTAGCTGCTACACCTTCAAACAAAACCTAATTTGGCCGTCCATGAAAAAGCTACTTAACCTCCCACTTTTCTATAGCAATACATACTTCCTACGGGCAGTGCACTAATTAAATTAAAGCATAAAATAGCACACTTGATATCTGTCAGTGTCTCAAACTTGCAAGCAAATAATTGATATTGATGATGATGATTGATAACCTGAACCTTTTCTCATAATTAAATGCTATAATCAGGCCCCCATTTGTTTTTCCTTGTTGAATACAGAAACCATTATTTTTGACAAAACCTCGAGCTATTGATAACTTTTCATCATGAACATGTACCGACCAAATTTGAAGTTGATCAGATCAATTCCCTAGAAGGAGTTTTATTAAAATACAGCAGATGGAAATGGCTAAAACAGTGCCAAAATTGCTTTGCTGCAAAGGCCTTAAAAACAGTGGGACTGACCTTCTGGTCCTGAGCTGGTGTCTGGCAGATTCTGCACCAGATCGTTCCTGTTTATTTTCTTTAAAACCTTCTTGGTCACCTTCAGAGCTCCATGAAGTTCATAGTTGTTCACCATCAATTTCACTGTGTCTCGCCTTTCTGCCGTCTGCAGCTCACACACTTTGATAGCTTGGTACCTTTCCAGGATGTCAGGCTGCTCCAGATACCATTTGAAGTCCCTGAAGTCCTCGTCTCGTAAACCCTTCAGAGTGTTCAAAAGGTCCTCTGACGTCATCGTGGCTTACTGCTAAAATCAGAAAGACAGTATTTACAACCTGAAGGAAAACTAGAACACAAATGTATCAGAGCAGCAACAGGAGTTCTGATTAGCTGACACACAAGCTGTCTTGTGCAAATTTGTGTGCAGAGTCTGTTAGAGATCCTGTTGATGCTCTGTGGTTTGGACTTAATGCAGTTTAGAAGAGGCACATTGCATAAACCTCTTTCAATTAAAGAAAGACATGTTTGAGTTCAGGCACAGCTTTAGGAGGATGCTAATAAATTGTCCTTGATTCATTTTATTAATCCCAACTATTCAAGGCAGGCGGCCACCGACCCAGAGCCGGGGTCTGTCCAAGGTTTCTGGCTCTTAAAGGTTTCTTAAAAGTTTTTCCTTGCCACTGTCGCCAAGTGCATGCACACATATAAAGAGCTGAAGTCAATTGTGCTTTTGTTTCATCAGCTCTTAGTTCTTATAATAAAGGCTATAAAAGTGCTTTACAGCACATGACCTCAAACACCACTGTACATGCAAGATGAAATCATCATGAAACCACAACTTAAAGGTTAACAACTTTTTTATATAAATCATTTTATAAAAGGAGTATGGTCTTGACCTGTCCAACGTAAAAAGTTTCCTGAGAGAGTTTTGATTTGGCGCTTTACAAATAAAACTGAATTGAATATAAGCTAAGAAAATGTCCAATGTTACATTGAGGACAACACGAGTCAACTCTGCGGTGAACAAAATGTCCTGTTTCCTCTCAGTACAACAGATGAAATAAGAACCCAAGTGTTTAAAGCCAGGCTAGCAACAATGTGCGCAGGGCTCACATAGCATAAGTGGATAAGCGGATAACTGTGGGAAGATGCAACACCCTGAATTATGGATTTAGGTTGATTTTTTTTATACATTACACATGTTGATCTAATGATGGTGCAAGATGAAAACTGAGGTGATACTCAGTCATCATGAGCTGAAAAACAAAACTTTTACTGTGACAGTTTGGAGAATATTAGAACCTGGTCCAGTCACCCAACAGTCTACCTGCTGCTCTTATGTCTAATAAGTTTACAAGTAATGAAGAATGAGGAACAACAGTCGGGCAGTGTCTGTATGCGGAAGTGAAATTTCAACTTCCGCTTTTTTAGTTCCAGTACATATTCAACGTACATTGTAGATCCACACAACTGCATTATATTTTGTTGTTGTGTTCAGTTGACTCCTGTTGACTCAACAGTGGCTCATAATGAATGTGTGCTGACCCAGGTCCTGCTAACTGCAGCTGATTCGAAGTCCAAGTCGGCAGCCTCAGCCAGATACCTGACTTATTGTGTTTTCTTTTTTAAATCTTTTATTTACTCTTTGTTTGAGACACTGACAGATATTAAGTATTAGTGTGGTATATTTATGCATGTGTTGCCTTTAAAGTTAATTTAGTAATAAAGTTATAAAAGTAGTAAAAAATTAATAAGTTATTAGTTAAAAAAGTGAGTTCCCTACTTTCAACTGATTTTAATGTAGGAACTGGGGAAGATCATCTGAATTTCATACGACTGGACTTGTGACTTTCTTGACCTGAGTAATGACTTGACTTGCTTGACGTATAGCATTGACTTGAGACTTGCTTGTGACTTGCACATGTGTAACTTACTCCCACCTCTGGTAGATACAGGACAGACATCAGTGATGTAAATACAGGGCAAAGATCATTGCTATAGATACATGGCAGAGGTCAGTGCTATAGATACAGGGCATAGATCATTGCTATAGATACAGGGTATAGGTCAGTGCTATAGATACAGGGCAGTGGTCACTGCTATAGATACAGGGCAGATATCTTTGCTATCGATACAGGGCAGAGGTCCACACTGTAGATACAGGTCAGAGGTTTGTACTGTCTATTTGACCCATATAATAGTAACAATAATATTATTAATATTAACTTTTGTCATAAGTTTCAGTGAAGTCCAGTTGTCATTGTTGATCTATCTTCAGTCTTCATTTTGATTATTATTATTTTTCTTATCCGTTTTTTTGACTTTTATCTCTTTTTGGACTTTTATCTCTTGATCAGAGTATAGGGTTAGGATAACAACTGATTTTAAGTGGTATCTTCAGATGTGTATCAAGCACACTTTTTGCTGCTTTGGATGATATACAATTCTTTTGTCCAACTCTGAGTGTTCAACTTACACAGAAAGACAGCTGCTTGTCAGTTATATACATGTACATATACATATACATATATATGTATATAAACACGTGACTTTCACACGGTAATATCTGGCAGGAAGTGTGATCTGTCTGGTTTCCACATCCTGTCACTGCAGCTAAAATGCATTCAGATAAATATATACAAAGAGTAATGTTCCCTTCATTGACACTGTGTTACAACCCCAATTCCAATGAAGTTTTTATTCACTCACTTTGAATTAGATGCCTGCAACACAATCCAACTTCAGTTGCTCAACAGTCCGGGGTCTCCATTGTCGTATTTTGTGCAAGTTACCCATGCCATGGGCACTAACACACCGCCATACCATCACAGATGCTGGCTTTTGAACTTTGCGCTGATAACAATCCGGATGGTCCTTCTCCTCTTTGGCCCGGAGGACACGACGTCCATAATTTCCAAAAACAATTTGAAATGTGGACTCATAAGACCACAGTACACTTTTCCACTTTGCGTCAGTCCATCTCAGATGAGCTCGGGCCCAGAGAAGCCGGTGATGTTTCTGGGTGTTGTTAATATATGGCTTTCGCTTTGCATGGTAGAGTTTTAACTTGCACTTGTAGATGTAGCGACGAACTGTGTTAACTGACAATGGTTTTCTGAAATGTTCCTGAGTCCATGTGGTAATATCCTTTACACATTGATGTCGGTTTTTAATGCAGTGCCGCCTGAGGGATCGAAGGTCACAGCATTCAATGTTGGTCTTCGGCCTTGCCGCTTACGTGCAGAGATTTCTCCAGATTCTCTGAATCCTTTGATGATATTATGGACCATAGATGATGAAATCCCTAAATTCCTTACAATTGTACGTTGAGAAACGTTGTTCTTAAACTGTTGGGCTATTTGCTCACGCAGTTGTTCACAAAGTGGTGAACCTCGCTCGGAATGTTCCAAACAGGTTTTTTTTGAGCATTCCTCAACTTTCCCAGTCTTTTGTTGTCCCTGTCCCAGCTTATTTGGAACGTGTTGCAGGCATCAAATTCAAAATGAGTGAATATTTGCAAAAAAGTTTATCAGTTTGAACATTAAATATCTTGTCTTTGTAGTGTATTCAATTGAATATAGGTTGAAAAGGATTTGCAAATCATTGTATTCTGTTTTTATTTACGTTTTACACAACATCCCAACTTCATTGGAAATGGGGCTGTATAATAACTGACTGAATATACTGTATATATAGTGTAAACGTAATCAGAGCGATGTGTCCATTTGTGTGTTTTGTGCTTTATTTGTACAATAACAACCAGAATGAAAACCTTCAATGGAAATTAAATACTTGAAAACTTGTAACAGAACAAAACAACATCAGTAAGTAATATATGTAAATATATATTTGTGTGTTGTTGGGGGGCCTTTAAATATGAACTTGTTCATTTTGTGTGATTTTAACTGGACATATTAATCTGATGGGTCACTTCCTGTTTGCACACAAACACCCTTTTCTTTAGCTTAGTTTCTTTTTGGTTAGATTGTACATTGTGTGTTTCCTGTGTTTGCCTTCATTATCTCTTTAATGAAGTGTGTGTGTGTGTGTGTGTGTGTGTGTGTGTGTGTGTGTTTACATGCTGGCTGATACCAGAACTCCACATCCTTCCACTTACTAACTATTAATAGTGATTTTGGTTATATTTATTTCTAAATTGATAGTTTAGTGTGTTTTACGACTGAATCAATCAATTATTGGCTATTGTTTTTCTTTAAGGGTGGTGCCCAGAGGAACTTGAATGTATATTAAAGTTATTATTTATTATCTTTTGATAATTAATCAGTTTTGAAAGCCAAAATTAGTGGATTGCACCTTTAAACCACTGTTGTACCAACCAAAGGTACCGCTGTACAGTACACACACACAGACACATAAACTCTGCAACTGAAGAAGAAAAAGAAATGCATTTAACACTCACTGTCTCATTGATTCTCTTCAGACTGACACAGCTGACAGTTGACTCTCTTCATGACAAAGAGTTGTGAAAACAGGAACTTACTTTTGTTTCCGGATATAAGAAAAGAAAAAAACTGTGGTTATGATCTCTGCTGCTCTGCTTATGGTCACATGGTTGGTAAAGTGTCCCTGTTTACAGGAAGTGTGAGCTGTCAGATTTCTGCCTGGTAAAGTTCCAGTGTGAAACATTAAGGACAATCTGTTGTCAAAAATATATATATATTCATAGGTATGTTATTTCCCTCGGGATAAATAAAGATTCTTGAATCTTGAATTTTCTGTGTGTGTGTGTGTGCATGTGTACTGTACATATATACATGTTATTTACTGATGTCATTTGTTCTGTTTCAAGTTTTTAAAGCCATTGAATCTCTTCAAATTCTTTGTTTCATAGGTTTTCATTCTGGTTGTTATTGTACAAATACAGCACAAACACATACGTGGACACATGATATCTCTCTGATTACATTTACACTATATATACAGTATATTCAGTCCAGAGCCGGTCGGCCCTAAACGCTCACTAACCTGTAGGGCCCCCGCCTCCCCCTTGTGTCAAAACAGGTGTCAGTGTTCCCAACTTCAAAGAGAGGATGAGGCACAACTATCCGCCATAAAAAGAGAACAAACACCATGAGAGAGGATTGTGGGAACAGGAAGGGATGTGAGTCAATAACAGCGTTAGGCTGTTGTGCAGCTCTCGGTCTGTCTGGTTCTTCCAGGGCTGTTCTGTTTATAACCTGCAGGGAAAGACAACCACGTTCTGGGTGAACCTGCAGTCATTCTGGGGTGGCACTCATCAGACACTCAGGTGGCAGGAACGGTCTCAGCTTTCCAGTCATTCCCAGTTTATCCAATTCCAACACTGTTTATGGAGCCCAGTATGCAAAAATACTTAAATACACTAAAATAGCGCATGGTATTTGCCCTAAACTGCATGGGATCAGTATAAAGTGGCCTGTCTGCAGACGGAAGACTTCTTGACATGACATCTTCAGCAAACAAAACAGTTTTTCCATTGCCAAAATGTAGCCTAACTTTGGAGCGTTATTTAACTTCCTTCTTCCTCCTTCAGGCAAGTAGGTTTCATATGATACCAGAATTTAACTCTAGCTTTAAAATGGAGCCCCCTACAGCCTCTGGAAGACAAAGTGCGGAAGACGGAAGGATAATGGGGTGACATTGGGGAAGCCAATCAGATTTCAGGGATGGACGCTGGGGACCAAATCCACCCACGTTGGAGGTATTAAGAATAACTACCACATCAATCCTCCTGTTGATGGTCTGGTTTGTTTATGCAGGTTATAGAGGCATCAATATTAAAGCTCCAGTGTAACATTACTGTAATAAATGTACCGGCCCGACATTCTCTTTTTCTGCCTTGATTGTGAAGGACATTCTGACTTGTGATCCTTCACTGATGTTTGTGGCTGTCGGTCACAAGAACACCTCAACTCAGATGTTACCCAGACTTGATCGTCTGTATCAATCAACTTTATGGAGATGCACAAATATCACTGGAGCAATAAGCCAAACTTGTAAAATCAATCTGTGTTTAATGGAGTCTGAACACAAAGACACAAAAAACTGAAATAAATGGCGGTTTTTATCCTCACTGATACAAACAGTTCAAATTAAAATGTCTTTGAGGGGCCAAATAAGAAACAAAATATACAAGGTGAAGATTCTTTATTTTGTAGAAACATTGGTACAAAGGTTCATAAAACTGCTGTAGATCAAAAAGAAGTCAGTTTGTGTAGTTTACACAGCCGTAGTGTCTCCGTAGTCTCTGTTCCAGCGGACGTAAACCTGCAGAGTCTGCGGACTGACACTTCTCTGGATCTTCTTCAGAGACTCTACAAAGTCTCTAAAACAAATGTTTCGGACCTGTGGAGAAAGCAGAAGACGTCCGATGACTAAAATCCTTCATCTGTTTCAAATCTAGAGTTAAAAAGTAGTAAAGTAGATCTAAACAGTGGATGGTAAACATGTAGCTTCAAACTGATGCATGCACCAAGGGGATAAGGTGCCATTGATTATAGATTATTGATTGAATCAATTATAGAACACAGCTCTAGAGTTTATACACTGTTTAATGAGGAACACTGGAGATACAAGTTCATCAGTTGACAGTGAAACTAAACTTGGTCACTTTGAGTGCTTGCTGATTTTATTTTGTTCTCCAACTGTCTCGCTGAATGAAACACAACCAACCCCCCAGTGTTAGAGTGGACCTGTAATACACAGTGATATTAACAGAACCCCAGTAAAAGAGAATCAATTCAGACAATAATTAATCAGTAACTGGTTGATCACATGATTACATCATCACCTGCAGTGGAGTGAACTCACCTCGCTGACCTTCACGTTCCTCACTTGTTCTGGCCGCAACTCTGTCGAAACACAAACAACAAACATAACTTCTGTTTCTTCATCAGAACAATAAAGTGAAGCTGCAGTCTCACTCAGGTCTGCAGATATCAGAAGGTTAATGTTTCATACTTCATAAAACCTTTAAGGCGACCATAAAGCCCAGTTCAGACCAAACATTTGTGCAGAGGTTCCATATGACAGTGGTGTAAATATACACTATAGGTCTTATATAGGCACAAGAAAACAAAATTAAATTGTTTGCTGAGATAGAATTGATGAATGTAAAATATATATATATATATATCAGAAGTTATATCAGAAGTTAGCTACAATTATTAATCTCCTGCTTTGAAGTTATAAAGCAGTTACATTTTTGGTTAAAACAAACTTCGATACAGCATATGATACAGACATTTAAACCGAATTGTATGGAGAGAAGAAAACACAAAAAATTGCTGTTAAATTTAAGCCTTCATAAATTCAAATTAAACACAATTTACTGGCTTTTAAGGTTTGAAGACTGTATCTCACCTCTGATTGGTCCCAGGGAGGCATCTTTAGCCAATGAGGTGAGGTCACTGCCGGAGTAGTCCTCTGTCATTCTAAACCAGAAGCAGAAAGTTCAGGTAATGTTGTTAACAAGGTGCATCGCAGCCCTTTGTTGGTTATAAAGAGATAAAACTATTATATATATATATATAATAAAAAACTGCATCTGAGTCTGCTTCACATGAAGCTCCAACAAAGGTCATCATTACTGGACATTTTCAAAATGTCTGAATTTACACATAATTCTCCTAAAGAGACACAAAAAATTATGATTTTATCGTGCCACCCACCCACAAAAGAACACAAATGATATTATTCTCAGTCAATCAATAAATAGGTGATGAGGGTTGACCTGGCCAGCTGGCTCAGCTCTCTGTGAGTCAGTGGGTTTCCATGTTTCTCCAGCAAGTTCTTCAGCAGCTGGAAGCGAGTCTGAAAACAAAAGCAGCATCAGTCAGACCAACCTGAAAGATGGATGTTTGATATCTTTAACTGGAGGTTGGACTCACCTCCTCGGCTGGCAGAGCGACATACACACGCTTAGCAAAACGCCTGCAAATAAAAACACATTTTATCTGTTAGCTGCTGTTCGAAGTCATTCATTTAATTTAAATGCAGTAAATTAAAGAAAATAAGATTCTATAGTATTCTGTAGTGTTCAACTGAAGTTCAGCTTTTGCTTTTTATTGCCTTTATTTGCTAGAGACAGCTGTGGATGGACAGGAAAGGGGGGCAGAGAGAGGGGATGACACGCAGCAAAGGACGGCAGGTCGGATTCGAACCCCCGTCCACTGCCCCGCCAGCTCTACCAACTGAGCTAACCGGGCGCCCTGTCACATTCATTTCTAAGATAAGACTTCTCACCTGAGAACAGCCTCATCCAGCTCCTGAGGCCTGTTGGTGGCTCCCATCACCAGCACCTGGTCATCAGCTCCTGACTGGACCTGGAACAAGAATTTATCCATCAGTGTTTGCTAATGATTCCTACAGTTAATGTTGCACCAGAATAAACCACAAAGTTATTCCTTTGCAAGCTTTTCAATATCTCACTCCGTCAAACTCGATGAGGAATTCGGTCTTGAGGCGTCGGCTGGCGTCGTGCTCGCCCTCCCTCCGCTCACACAGCAGACTGTCCACTTCATCTGGACACAGACAACAACAGGGTTCACACAACCGTTATTTAAACAGAGTCAGTGATGCTAACGACATCCATGATGGTGATAGTTACCGATGAAGATGATTGAGGGTTGCCGCTCTCTGGCCACAGAGAACAGAGCTCGAACCAGCTTCTCTCCTTCACCCACCTGCACACAGACGACGTCGCTGCAGCCAATCAGTCGTTCTAATCTGCTCGTTATTTGGTGGAATAATGGCAGTGTAATGTGAATAGTGAAACATGGATGTTTTCAGAGATACTTACATATTTGGAGGTTAAGCTGGCGGCGCTGATGTTGAAGAAGGTGGCGTTGGACTCAGCAGCCACAGCTTTAGCCTGGAGTCAATAAAAGGTACAGAAAACTCTGAACCCTTAATATGTGTTAGTCATGGATGTTGTCCTGCCATCAGCCCTGAGAAATGTCACCAAGTGCTGTAAAGTGGTTCCGTTTCATTTTCACTAAAGGGACGTTTGGATGTAGACGGTACATTTATTTATATCACACATTTCATGGCCAACACAAAGTGCTTCACAGAGTTCACGAAAAAAACAAGAAAGGACAAACAATTAAACAAACTGATAAATTAAGGTAACATTAATTAGAAGCAGTCGTAAACAGATATGTCTTCATCTTGGATTGGGTTGAAAGGTCAAACTGAAGATGTGTGAAGAGATTCAGGCGTCTCATTTTGATGGTGGATATTGTGTTTTACTGGTGTGATTGTCATTTTATTTGTTGTAAGGAAACATTTATCATACAGAATATATCAAATTAGCACCAGTTAAGTTTGACAGTGGGAAGTTTCTCAGACTCACCAGCATTGTCTTGCCGTTGCCGGGTGGACCGAACAGAAGAAGTCCTCTGGCCGGAGTGCGCAGTCCTGTAAACAACTAGAGAAGAAGAGAATCTGTTTCTTCAGTAAATGTCCAACGTGACAAACATTAAACCTCGGTTTCTCTGTCGGTCAGTGAACTCACCTCCGGTCGCAGCGCCGGCAGGATGACGATCTCCTGCAACGCCTGCTTTGCCAAATCCTGACCGGCAACGTCCTCGAACCTCACGGACAAGCAGCTGGAACACCATCGATACAACAATCAATACAGATTAACCGATGACAGCATCACCTCACTTCAGGTTCACTGTGTCCATTTATCAGCCCTGTTTTTGTCTCTTTCTGTTGTTTTTTGTCTGGAACACCTGGTTAAAGCTATATTAATCAATTAGTTTTTTGCTCCATAAAATCAAAAAAAATGTTTATGACCAAATCCTCAAAGATATTCAGTTTAAACCAGAAAATAATCTCTAAGTTCTCTCCTATTTGCACATTGACTTTGTTGTACCGTTCTTTTATTAAATCAATTTGATCTTTTTTTTGGTGTCGTGCTTTGAAAACCTCGCTGTAAAGAACAGAAACTCCCTCAATCAAACCGTTCAATGATCTATAAACTGATCGGTGAGCATCTCTGACAGTTACAGCTGATAACCAGCAACTCAATGGCTGCACTGTGAACTTCAGCTTCTTCTTCTGGCCAGAGGTCTATTCATGAATATCAGTCACGTGACCTTTTACGTCATCCTCTCTTTTCCCAGCTTACTAGCGCCATCTTGAGTTCCTACCGAGTACCGGCATAGACAGTACTGACAAGCATTAGCTAGCTGGCAACGATTTACGGATTCATATGGATACAGTAAATAGCTACGAAAGACAACATTTCGCACCTCGACTGCCATGAAAAGAAACGCTACTACTCTGTCTGTCTGTCTGTCTGTCTGTGTCTGTCTGTGTCTGTCTGTGTCTCTGTCTGTCTGTCTGTCTGTCTGTCTGTCTCTCTCTCTCTGTCTCTCTCACCCCAACTGGTCGAGACAGACGACCACCCACCTAGAGCCGGAGGATCTGTCCTAGGTTTCTGCCTTTTAACAGGCAGTGTTTCCTTGCCCTTGTCTCCAAGGTCTTGCTCATGGTGGTACTGTTGGGTCTCTGTAATTAATGTTATAAAGAGTTCGGTCTAGGCCTGCTCTATTTGAAAAGTGTCCTGAGATAACTTCTGTTATGAATTGGCGCTATACAAATAAAATTGAATTGAATTGAATTGAAATTGAATACGCAGCTAGCGTTAGCTCGCTAACAATATATTTACATCCACTCACCACAGACAAAATGAGCACTGCACAGACGAGTGTTTGCAGTTGGTGTTCACGGTGTCACCACCCTGCTCTCTCCCGGCAGCTGATGTGTGGCTGTCAGAAAGCCTGACAGCGCTGCGCTTCATTCAACCACATTGTAGTAACGCAAGTAACGCGCCACTTTACATTCTCAGTAACGGACGGCGTTGCAACGATGGGAAAAGTAATTAATTAGATTACTACGTTTACTGAAAAAATAACGCCGTTAGTAACGCCATTATACTTAAACGCCGTTACTCCCAACACTGTTTGCAACAGACTTAGTGATCTCGCTGAATCACGTACTGGACATGGCGGTAGACACGTTAGAATGTGAGTGACGTCAGGTAATATTCATGAATAGTCCCTTCTGGGCGGAGGTCTATAGTCCCTTCTGGGCGGAGGTCTATAGTCCCTTCTGGGCGGAGGTCTATAGTCTCAATGTGGAGAACAACACTGCTGCGATCATTCACATTAACAACTCACCTGTCGACGACCTCGCTGAGGATGAGTTCGGCGAGCTTCCCGTCCACGTTCTTCAGGTTCTTTGAGTCTTTCTTCTTCAGCAGTGTCGGGGAGCCGGCTCTCCCGCTGTGACGACTCATTCTGCCCTGCAGGGGGCGCCGGGAGCTGAGGGTGGAGCAGCGATGGAGGCCCCCAGAGGAAGAGGAGGAGGAAGAACAGGACGTCTTTGGAAAGAGCTTTGGTCGGCTGGCCGATGCCGGATTCACAGAGTCTCTCTTTCTGGAGACAGCGCCACCTGCTGACCAAACGATGAGTTCATGAGATTTTCTGTTTTATGGATGCACATCCATGATTATTGATATTTGATTTATATTATTATGTATTGTTCCAATAATTAAATTATAGCCAATAAATTATTGATCCATAATCATAATAATTTGGCCCCGACCAGCAAAATTGTATTAATATTTTTGCCAAATTAATCGCATTTGTGGCAGCTGCAAGATTCTGGAGAACTCAGGAAACGCAGCACAGAATTCAGCAGTATCGGACACTTTGGTATTTTATGGGACTCAAACATGAGACAGTGCGGCCTGAAGAGCAGCAATCTACAGACCTTGTTCTGTTTGTGACTTCGAGAGGAAATAAAATGAGGGCAGAACAGTTTCACATTTCTTCCAGATGTATCCACTGTGGATGTGCTGTAACGTACCTGAGTGCAGGTGGGAAGCGTGGTAGACGGGGTTAGTGCCATCAGTGTAAATGTATGTCTGAGCCCCGGATCCTGAGAGCCCGCTGACTAAAACAACAACAACAACAACAACAACAAGGAGGAGAAAAAAGACGTTAGGCTACTAGCCAGAGAGCTAACGTTACGCTAAAACAGTATTGGAACATCTCTGGAAGTTTTCTGATTTCAACTTTGGACGTGAGAACGTATCTGCATTCGTGTAAGAGTGAAAAACAAAATGCAGTCTGGCAGGAAAGAGTATGGAGTCTGTTCAATGTCTGTTTAATGTGACTGATCGTTACGTTCTCCAGTATTGTCTACATAAGGTCAGGGTTGCCGGAGGGACTGTGGAAACCTCGACAGACTGAAGGTTTGATGTGGTGGAACCATCAAAGCTACCTAAAGACTGCAGTCGGTCTTTGGCTGCAGTCAGGTTGGTGCTCATCTTGTTCTGCAGCCGTCTGTCTCGATCAGATTTCTCTCCTGGAAAAGAGAACAATCATAAAAACAGTCATGAACAAACCAGTCGTTCACACCACGTGAATTTAGTCCTGACAGAAACACTGCTTAACTGAATCTCAAAGAATCTACTCAATCTCATACAGTAACTATTATTGATTCCCGATTGACAAGAAGACTGTGGACATATGACGGATTATAGCTCAATATAATTAGCTTAATATATGTATTTAAATCATTACATTAATGGACATCCTTAATGACAATGTTGTATTATTTATTATTAAAATGGAATATGGATATTATTGAACATGTTAAATAAAATGTGGGTCAGTTGTTTGTTGATCCATGAACTCACCACGTCCTGAGATCTGGATGGCGATTCCTCTCTCCAGTTCGATGATTCCTCGTTGGTACCAGCTCACCGCCTGCTGCTTGTCACCTGATGACACATATGGATATGGACTCAAACACACACACACATTCTTATGTTTACATGTATCGGAGCTGAAAACGTGTTTCCATTAACTTATATCAGACTGACTGACTCCTACGACAGTCTGGACCTTGTAAACTGTGTTCACATGTTCTGCCCAATGTCTTAAAACCCTATTTGGACACTATTTCACCTGAGGAGCCGGTCTCCACAGCTGGGGCTCGCCAGACAAAATTGAACTAGCCTTTATAATTTCAAACAGGGCAGTGCTGGAAACATGACACTGAGTGACGCTGAGTGATGCTGAGTGACTTGGGCTGGTTTGTTTTAGCTTTAAATGCTTTTCTGAATATGTTTTGCTTTTAATCCACCCACAGTGGCTCTTTATTAAGAGAGTCAGCAGCAGTGAGTTGCTGTGGGTCTGGACTAAACTGCCCCCAGAGGTTAACCACAGTAACTACACTAACAGAGAAACTGAGAAAAGTGGCTTCCAAGTTTTGACTGTCTGTTCAAATGTGTTTTATATAGAACAGCAATTATGTGCTTATTAAATGTGCATTCTCTGAACAATTTTTATGTCTTTAAAATCATGACCAATTGTTTGACCTCTGCCCGTAAACTGCAGAGCCTGCTCTCTTTGTATCAGCATAAACAGATATATCGGTAGTGCAGTAACTGTCTTCTGACAACATTTGTTACATTAAATCTGTATTTCTGAATGTTTCATGAGTAGCAAGTTGAAATAGACAAATCATTAAGAATTTAAGCATTATTGTTTTGCAGTAATAGCTTGTCCTGTTAGCCAGCTAGCACTAGCACAGTAATATATGAACTATTATCACTATCTGCTCCAATGGACTCAGTTAACAATCCCCAGATGGAGTCAGTGAGAGTTCCCAGTGGAGAACATAAAGATTCCCTTTGTTTTAATTAATTCCTACATTTTCCTCAAATTGTATAGAAGTCAGGATTTACAGACACTGAAGTGCAGCGACTGCAGCTGAAGC